GGCTTGTTAAAGGAGGGGTATTTAACCCTTTTAAAGAATTGGACATAAATAATATCTTGTTTATTATAACCCTGTAATGCAGAAATATTTAATTAAATTTAATCAGCGCTATTTTCCGAGAGTGACAGCTATTATGAACGTCTCTCTAATTATAACAATTCGAAATAAAAAATATTTTAAGGTTTTAATTCCATTGGGTGAATCCTTGAGTTTGGAAGAAATCAATGAAATGATCAGGTAATGAAACAATCATCCTCAAGCTGTTAAGACTGATAACCCGTTATTTTTTTATTGATTTAACCACATAAGAAAACCCTAACTCCTTGTCCTTGATACTACACAAGGGAGGGAACCCCCGGACGCCATGAGCCTCCGGCATGCAGACACCAGCCTCCCATATTTGCTAGGCAGACCAAGCCTCCTCCATGCAGTAAGATCCTCCACTATGCAGTAAACGTACCTCCGCAATACAGCACAGCTTCTTATAGGTCTTTGTTTTAACATGTAATAAAGAATTTTTTCATTTTTTTTTTAACATAGTGGCATAAAAATTTACTTAAAATTAATGTTGTTTATTGATTGTCATGATTTGTGTCTCATATTAACTCATAAAACTGTTTATAAGAATCATGTTTTTCAATAAAGCATTTATTACGCAGTAAGGTGGCTTTATGGAAATTAATTTTTGAATTGAACTTAGTTTATTTGTTTTAATCTTTGATTTAAGAAATACCATTTATGAGAACAAATTTTAAATTCAGATTATTTTTCATGAATGTCAATGTCGATTTTTTTTTTTTTTACTACAGCTAAAAACCAAGAGTTTTAAGAAAACTTCTTTATAGCATAGCTCGTTTACTGTATAGCAGAGGCTCTTACTACATTGGGGAGGCGAGGCTCATGTCTACATAGCAGAGGATTATAACGTCCGGGGGTTCCCTTCATCGCTACACAAAGCTGGGTTTAACATCATGACACAGGACGCCGGCTGACTATCGTTGTTTTTCTTTCTCAAAAAGTTTTAATTTTGTAATTTCTATAGTATTCTCCTGCAGTATTTATTCTGTATTTGTATAAAGAAAACTCATAGAAATCATAATCTTTCGAAAATAACAATTACGAGGTCTCCTTTATGCTTATTTCAACAAAGGTTTAAATTCCTTTTTGTACTCAGGATTGCAGACAAGGATGGGAATGGATTGGTTAATGAACAAGAATTTATAGATATTATGAATAAAGAAAATTAAAATTTAAGATATAATTATAATTCTAAATATATGTGAAGCGGTAAACTTTGTTTATTTGAATGGCCGACTATAACTCTGGACCTCTTTGACCGATTTGCCTCAAACTTTGATTGGGGAACTCAGAACTTCGGGAATGTTAACGATTTAGTTTTATAGCTCTAAATTGAGTAGATTGACTTGTAAAGGTTAAATTTATATTTCAGGCAAAGCTGGGTTCCGAAATCTAGTTAGATAATTTACTAGTTTCGGTAACCCAGTTTTGCCTGGGGGTTTCCTAGGGTTCATCCCACATAAAAGTTATGCCGTTTTAACAAAAAACAGTTTCTCGAACAAGTATCGAATCCAGGTATAACTCAGATTCTCTTGACTATCAATTTCAACATACGGCTACAATCCCGTGAACAATCTGTGCGCGATCTCGTTAGCTCTTAACTATCAATGCCAAATCAATGGGCACGATTCACACAGCTACAATCTCGTGACTTTTCAATGTCTCAACTAGAACACAATCCACAAGACTACAATCCCATAAACTATCACACCACGCCACTGGGCGCGATCTCGTTAGCTATCAATGCCAATACTCGAGGCACAATCTCAGAGGCGTATTCAGGGGGGGGCTATTGGGGCTGAGCCCCCCCCCCCCTCCTGGACCAGTGAAATCTATTTATTTCAGGTGGTTTTTATGCCCCAACGGGTGTTGACAACCCCCTTCGAAAGAAATAAAATTTAAGCCCCCCCTGGACAAATTCCTGAATACGCCCCTGCACAATCTTCATCTCCTTTGTTTAGAACAAGGACATGATTACTCTCTGAGTAATCAGTACGGAGTCTCTACCCCAACTAGTGTATTTGAGCTTTATATGTTACAAGATAAAGTTATTAGACGTAATTACAATTCCTACGTCGTCCTGACTGGTTTAAATAGATCCACCTTTGCAATACTTGGATTTTGTTAAATTGTTTTTATAACTGAAACTTTCGAGATATTCCAAATTTTAGCAAGATAAAACACGAGGCGTTTTTCATATTATTTAGATTTTAATTTGCAAAAACATGTGAATCTGCAGGTTATGATTTAAAGATTTTCTATATTTATTCCATAAATTCAAAATATTTGGACACATCTATCACGCCAAACCAAAGTAAATTTCCCATTATAATAAAATCTAGCATTTTTCAATCAAATTACTCCTCTTATTCGGAAGCTATTAAAGAAGAACAACATGTTTTGAAGATCTGCATATATGACCAAATATATTTCCTTCTCCCATTATTGTGCGTATACTCAGAAATAGAGGAGATATGTTGACACAAATTTGTACCAGTCGCGTTTTGAACTTCTTTCTAGTGAAGCGTGTTTTTTAATATACATGTAGATAAATATATTTTAGATTAAACAAACTACTTTATATATTAAAAAGACGGACTTAACTATCGCAACTACTTTTGTCTATTATCAAAAATAATACAATTTATTTAAATAATACAAGGAACAATAAAAGCATATTTTTCAGCTTAAAAAAATAATTTTTAAATTACAAATTACATAATAATACAATAAATGGCAAAAAAAGGGATTTCATTTGGACAGCATTTTATTCTGAATTTGTTTATTCACATGTGAAATTTGATTACTTTATTATTTCTACTAATGAATGGTTTAATTTTTAGGGATGTTTCCTAAAGTAAACTTACATGGTTTATGGAAAATATTTTCTATTTATTTCCTGTAAATATTTAATTGTTTGTTTCATAACCTATTAATTCGCCAAAACAACTCTTCATAATACGCCGAAAAGCCTCGCAAAAAAAACAGATTTTTTCTTTAAACATAATTTCCGAAATTTTCGTTCCAAAATGTAACAAAACCTTTTTTTCAAAAATACTAAATAGTAATAAATATCTGTAATGTCCAGTGCTTCTATGCACACACAATGGATTGGAACTCATCCTAAAAAAAAAAAAAATTAGATTAGATAGTTTGTTAAAGGGACTGTAAGCGTAATTTGAAGTGACTCTATACATGCAAAGATGACAATGCCCAATTCCCAATGGTACCCTAAAAGCTTTGCCTGCTGAAGTATATGAATAAGATTTTAATATTTATAGTTTTGAAAACTGTTTATTTAACTAGTGGGTTTTCTACAAAAGTAACTTGCGCATTTCTTCTTCAGGAAAACATAAAGGAATAACCATAATTAAACCAAGAAAAGGGTACCGATGGGAATCGGGCATTGGCATCATCACATGCAGAGTCATTTGAAATTTAAGTTACAGTTCTTTTAAAATATATTTAACATTATCAAAAAACTCTTTTTTCGCTAATTTTTTGTTCCTTTTTTACTATTAGCTCATGTCGCCAGTCAATGAAAAGTTAGAATTCAAATTTTGTGTGCATTTACTATTTTATTACAAAACAAAAATCGTGTAGTTGTATTTCCAAAAAATGTAAAAACCAACTTCAACCACCTGGGACTAAAATCAATCAATATTGAGAAGTAGTTGAACTACATAGGCTGAACCACTTCTATTGTACTTAAACCAGTGAACAAGAGCAGTGAGGTTCCATTACGTTTACGCAGTAATAATAATAATAATATTTAAAAAAATGTATTTCGACATTTAAATTATAAAATTAAAGATTTTTTTTATTCGGGTTGAAAACGTTGTGCAAGTATCATATTTACAATGTTGCCAAAAAATAATTTTTTTTGACATCTTTTATGTAGAAATCACCTGTTTCATAATTTCGTATTCATTTCCCTCGCTATCATACCTCACCATTGCCTTGGCTAGCATCTCGACAATAGCCTTAATTAGAGGACTGTTCACGCATTTTCACAAAGTTAGGAAGAAACAATTTTCAATTTCCCTCTTTTTATACCTCTCTCACAACCTCAATTTTCAGATATTGAAAAAATTGAGGGAAAAAATGTACAGCCGGGGATAGGAAACGATACATTTCCCGGTTTTTAGGTTTCTATTTTAAAATTTTTTGAGAATTAATTTTGTTCATAAAACTTGTTTCTGTAGCGTTGAAACATACGGTTAATTAAGGAATTTTTATATTTAAATTTCTAGTTTGCAAGAAAGGCGACCAATAACTAAACATCAGGATACCCTCGCGTTAAATCACTAGCACGCAACATTTTTTGGTTAATTATGATGTACTGTTCAGTACAGTACAGTACAGTACAGTACAGTACAGTACAGTACAGTACAGTACAGTACAGTACAGTACAGTACAGTACAGTACAGTACAGTACAGTACAGTACAGTACAGTACAGTACAGTACAGTACAGTCTACATTACTGTACTGTAAATTTATTTCTGTACTATTATGTATTACATTGTGCTTTGTTGTAGAACTAGTATATTCCTTTGAAAAGTATAAAAAAAAACTTCAAAAGATCTTTTATAAAGAGATTTAGAATTAGGAGAAAATCTGAATATCTTTAAATAAAATAAGATTTAATTTGTTTTCCTAGAACATTTTTAAGTCTTCCATTTCTATTTTTCAAGAAATATAAAAAATAGCTTTTAAACATCTATATTTTATTTCTAATGTTTTAAGAACAGCAGCAATTTCCCCTGTCAGCTCTCCATATAGATTAACTTGTAAGGGTAATTTCAAGTTACCCTATAACTGTAAAGTGGTGTGTACAACTCACAACAGTACCCTTAATACTATTTTGCAAGCTTGTCGAAATTATTCTTGTTAATTTTCAAAAAGGTTTTAATTGTTAAACGCTCTGTTGCAAAAAATATGAATATATTGACTTTCCACAAGTTGTAAAAAATAAATATTTTCTTTCGAATTTTTGAAAACTGCTTTAAATGTAAAACATTTAGTGTCAAGGGACACACGTAACGCGTAACGCAAAAGCTGTGTTGAGTTCACACTATACGCCGCGTACACCAGGTTTTAAAGGAATTTAAGTGGTTTCAAAGAGATTTTACCACAGAGCTCGCTTTACTAGATGGTGCAGTCAAAATTTAAAATTTACTTGAAATTGTGCCCCCCCCCCCTTCCTTCAAAACTCTGAACAGCCGGCATGGCAGATTACACCTTTACCTGAGAATCATGTGAATGAATAAATCCATGTTGTACAAGCTCAGCTGCCATCCCTGGAGCAGTATCAACTCCGCGTACAATTGTACAATAAAGCTGTCGGTTCATATTATCCTAGTATATCAGTAAATATTTTGTGTACGTGTAAAACACTTCAGAAATGTGTACTGCATTTGGGGTGTTAAAAGTTGTAAATATCAGTAATCAAAATGAGATAAATTATGATACACAGAAAAAAAATCACTTAAAGTGTAAAATATACATTCTGCAGTATAGAATTTTTTCTAAACCTGAAATATTTAAGCCTGTTGCTCATACTGGGACCAGGAACTATTACAGTGGGCCTTAGGGGTTTAAGCTTTAAGCATATGTATTGTGTATCTATTCTTTATTTATAAATCTCTGTTTGTCTGTGTGCATGTCCGATTATAACTCATGAACCCTCTGACCTATGAGTACCCTAGGCAACGTTGGATTCTAAAGCTAGTTGTGTAGATTTTAAAAAAAATTTACTCGTCTGGAATTTATCCACCATTTTAAATTTTTTAACCTACAAATTTATTTCTTTACCTTTCAATCCAGACATAATTTACCAAATAAATTTTTGATTTTATTTTTTAAAATAATATTTAGCTTACAACTTGTTTTCGAACATTCCTGGAAAATATTAAAATGTAGTCTTCGTTTGCAAAAATCCTCGAAATAGGAATAAATGTTTTTATCAGATCATAGCAATTAAAACATATTATGAAAAATCAACTATATACAAATGTGGCGAAAGATAATCGATGACTATAGGTTGTAATATCTGAATGATTTGTTTAAAATTAAAT